CCCCCGCCCCCACCCCCACAACAATGAAGTAGAATTTGGATGGCCTAGTTTCTTTCCTCACAAAATAAAAATGGTCTTCCCTCAGAAATATTTCCTTTTCTCTCTTACAAAGAATAGAAATAACAGCTGCATTTTTAGTGCCTTGTCAGCAGTTTGATGCTCCCAGGCCAATAGAATGGTGCTAAGTTTAAAAAAAAGAGGAAGAAGTAGAAATCTGCAAAACTGTTTCCAAGCTTATTCTAAAACTGTCTTCTTGCTGAATCTGTCTTGTCGTATGAACATTTTTTCCTTTACAAATACATGTATTCCTATGTTTAGGGAAACCAAAATCACAAGTTTATTAATATTACGACAAGGTTTTTAACATTTCTAACTGACTTGGTGCTTTTTAACCAGGTCTTTGGTAACTCAGGTTTTTTCCAGATCTTCTGCCGAGTTTCATTCTGGGCCTAGTAAGATTTAAGACTGCGGCATAATGATTTGCTTTGATGCTAAGATATTTCAGGTATGAAAGGACCTCCATTTGGATTGAATCTAATGAGTCTGAAAGGGCATTCCATTTGTTTGGGGACAAATGCAACCAAATAGTCCCGTCTGTAAGCATGGAGGTCTCTTTAACCTTACCTGAGATAACTATGGATGACATCTTCTTACAGAAAGTATTTCATGCCAGCCCTACAGGGTAAAAGAAGGGTTGAAATAAACCCAAAGATATTCAGCTAACTTCTGATTATGGACGAGGTACTTTAGCTCCTGGGAGAGCGGTAGCTTCCAAGCAGGGGCCCTGAGGAGTCCCGGGTACATCAGTGGGCTTTTGGGTGATGGACAAATGGGCAAGGTTTCTCCTAAAAATGGGATGCACAGGTGATAAAAATAAAATGTGTTTTTGGAAACCGAAGTAGTAACGTACTAGATTTGGGCATTTGGGTTTTAGAACTGGCTCCACCACCGTTAACTGTTGATGATCTTTAAGGTAACTGTTGGCTTTTGAAGAATAGATTTTGCTTCTTAAAAGTGGATTTTTATTCTAAGATACATGTCTTTAAATATATTTAAAATTTGAAGAACCAGTTCTGAATGGTTTTCTACCAAACTTTTGATGGTCTTGGTCTTAGCAAAACTTTTTCTGTGTGTGCTCCTCGCCGGGTTGTATGCAAAGCCTGGATTTGCATAGATCCTGGGAGACTTCTTTCTTTTCCTTTTTTTTTTTTTTTTTTTTTTTTTTTTTTTTTTTTTTTTTTTTTTTTGAGAGAGAGCACACTAGCAGGGGAGAGGCAGAGGGAGAGAGAGAATCGTAAGCAGGTTCCATGCCCCTCACGGAGCCCAGCCCAGCACGCAGCCCATTTTGGGGGCTTGATCTGGATCCCAGAACGGGCCTGGAACTCATGTACCGTGAATCATGACCTGAGCCGAAATCAAGAGTCAGATGTTTGAGCCACCTAGGCGCCTCGTTCTGGGAGATTTCTGATTCATCTAAGTAGCTTTGGGATTCACGATGTAGACAACAGACATAGACTTTATTTTAATCTGCCCTCTCCTTACTTTGTTATCAGTATTAACAGTATGTTAAAACCAGATGTGAAGATAAGTTTGGTTAGGCTTTTTTGTTCATTTCTTTTTTGGGGCCTCATCTCACTGCTGTTTAATTTGTACATCTGCAGGTGGGAACATTCTCAGTGGCCAGTGAGGAAGTCTTGAAGAATAGAGCCATAAAGAAAGCAAAGCGTAGAAATGTTGGATTTGAAGTGAGTGTTTTCTTACCGCCCTTGGCATTAAACGCTAATCTGACTCCTGAGTTGCAGAGCATTTCTACCTGTGGGAGCCGTCAGATCGATAAATGCTTTTTAAAATGCTAACTCCACTTGTGAAAATCCTTGATGTAGACTACGGGAGATGGACGACAAGAAGCGTGAGATCTGTACCTGACCGAGTTGCAGAAATCCAGTGTCGATCCTGTAGACGCGATTCCAGCCGAACGGCAGTAAGGAGAGGAAGAGACACATGGAACGATACAAACAGAAGTAGTGGCAGGTGGCGTAGGGAAGGGAAACGCAAGGTGTCCTCGGAGTCCTGCTGCATCCTGGCATCGAGGGGAGGGTCAGGGGGAGTCCTTTAGCTCTGAAAGAAGCATGGCAGGTGCGGGTTTTCTTCCCAGTATAGTAGGTTACAGTGTTTTCCTTCCTGTGTTCACAAGGATAAAAGATGAACTGTAACTTGTGAATGGAAATCACGTGGTCCGTATTCAGCAGTCACTCCCACGTTTAACTAGTCTTCCCCGGTACAATTCCCAGCCCTCAGATACCTTCCAGATACCTGAGTGCTGACTCGGTGGCCCAGACATCTGTTGTCAGGCTCGAGAAGCTGCTTTGAACATCCGGGGTGGCAGCTTTGGAATGAATCTGCTCCCCTGCACCTTCCGTGGTGACTCTGTTCAGTTTTGTTATTCCAAGTTTTCACTGATCCGATTTCATTCTTAAAGACTGGTGACCGGTCAAACCTAGGTATCAAGCCTAGTGAAGTTTGATGGCTCTTCCTCGGAGAGGGGGCAGCAGGAGGGAAGGACAACTTAATTGTGGAGGAAGTGATCGGTTCAGTTGGGGAAATGTGTTCTAAGAGCCTGGGGTACATTGAGGTGAAGTTCTAGAAGACCACTAGGTCTGTGGGCGGCTTCCTGGAACAGGAGGTGCAGCTGTGAGAGTCCTCACCACGCAGGAGGTTGAAACCAGGGAGGGTGGCTGAGAGTGGCAGCTCACGGTGTAGACAGAAACCAGAGGAAGACCGCCTCAGGGAGGGATGGCCCGGCTGTCAGATGAGGGACAGTGAAGAAGTACAAGCCGTGTCCACCACAGTCCAGACTGGGCCAGAGGGAAGGGGGTTGGGGCCCTCTGGCTGCTAAAGGAAATAAAAGACACACATAATTTCGACTATAACTTGCAGCGTCAGGTTTCCATCAGAGCTTGTATATTAGAGAAATTAACAGTTATATCATCTGCTTAAGTGCTGAAATGTGACTTTTCCTATATACAGTTGACTGTTGACAGTACGGGTTTGAATTGCATTTATACGCAGATTTATTATTTTTTTGATGAGGGAGGATGTTGGCGTCCCTAACCCCCGGTTGTTCCCATGTCAACTGTCCTGGATTGTTGTGCTGAGCACTAGCGATTCATTGGTGGGTGAAGACAGGAGTGAGTAAAATATCCGTGCCTGGTGGGCCTTACGTCCTAACGATGGAAGAGACACACAATATATGATTTTAGTTTTCCTCTAAGTGCCATGGAGAAAAATCAAAGTACGTGAGGGAGATTGACAGACACGGGTGTGAGCCCCAGTGGGTTACCTCTTTCACTTGTACTCTCATTTTTCTGAATGACTCCATTCCTTCGTTTAGAAGCCAGTGGTTCTTGAATTTTTGTGATGGCTCTAGAGCCAATGTACTGTCAGCAGTCTCTAAAATAACTATCAGTATCCTCTGGTTTTTAAATCTCATGCAAAGTAAAAGGCTCTGAGGAGCTACTCACAGCTTTTTATGCTTTGTCCATGGAATCTTATAAAATGATAGCACTCTGTGTGGTGTCTTCGGGATATTGATTCATTAAAAATCAAATTTATAGTGTCAGAACCGAAGAACTATATTTATTACATGCATTGAAATTTATGCAAGTTAAGGCTTTGCTTTTGTTTTTGTTTTCTGGGTTTTTCTGGCCTAATTTTATTGCCACAGTTGTATCCATGGTCAGTAACCATGTGAAATCCTATGTTTATGATTGAAACTTTTTGAACGATTTTTTAAAATTTTGCAATAATATTAGGCTAACTGGCCCATTTAGAAAATGAAGAGTTTCTAGTGTAAGCAATTTTTTGTGAGCTCATGATTCTAATTCGTTTGT